TCCAAAATATTAATCGCAATTAAAAAAATGTATCGCTACTAATTGCACTTGAAATTGCACTGTTAAACAATAGAATACCAATTGAAATTTATTCAATATTTTTGGAAGTTTTTCTACATTTTCAAATATATTGATTTCAATTACAACACAGAATACAACGTGCTCACTTTCTATTATTATTTTTGATTACAAATATTTGCACTGTAAACATGATAAAGAAATTGTATTTTTCATTTCGCCTCATACAAGTACTGTAGTGCAATCTCTTTTTTGTGAAAGTTGCAGGAGGCCGCACCCCAAACCTCTGTCCCCTCCCAGAGCCAGTACCCCAAACCTCCTCCTGCACCCCAACCCCCTACCCCAGCCCTGATCCCCTCTCAGAGCCAGCACCCTGTACCCCCTCCTGCACCCCCACACTCTGCCTCAGCCCAGAGCCCCATCCTGCACCCAAACTCCCTCCTAGAGCTTGCACCCCTCATCCCCTCCTGCACCCCAATTCCCTGCCCCAGGCTCAGCCCAGAGCCCCCACCTACACTCCAAACCCCTCGGCCCCAGGCCAGAGCCCGCATCCCCTCCTGAACCCCAACCTCCTGCCCCAGCCCAGTGAAAGTGAGTGAGGGTGGGGAGGGAGTGAGTGGGGCAGGGCTTCAGTGAAGGGGCGGGGTAGATCTTGGGTTGCCCTTAAATTCAAAAAGTGATCTTGAGTGTAAAAAGTTGGAGAACACTGCTTTAGAGCCTACAAGTCCACTCAGTCCTACTTCTTGTTCATCCAATCGCTAAGACAAACAAGTTTGTTTACATTTATGGGACCTAATGCTGCCCGCTTCTTATTTACAATGTCACCTGAAAGTGAGAACAGGCATTTGCATGGCACTTCTGTAGCCGCCATTTGCAAGGTATTTACATGCCAGATATGCTAAACATTTGCATGCCCCTTCATGCTTCAACCATCCTTCCAGAGGACATGTTTCCATGCTGATGACGCTCATTAAAAAAAAATGTGTTAATTAAATTTGTGACTGAACTCCTTGGGAGAGAACTGTATGTCTCCTGCTTTGTTTAACCCGCATTCTGCCATATATTTCAGGTTATAGCAATCTCAGATGATGACCTAAATTCCCTCTAAGCTGCGTGGCCGTGCAGAAGCCTATTGAGCACTGCACAGGCGCTCAGGCTGCAGCGGGGAGAGATGCCTCTCCCCCAACCCCAGACCTGCCGCGGCCGGGGGAGAGATGCCCCTCCACCGGCCCCAACCCAGCCCTGTCCCGGACCTGCTGCGGCCGGGGAAGAGGCACCTATCCTGCAACCCCAGCCCTGGAGCTGCTGCCTCTCCCCCCCAGCTGAGGTGCTGCTGCAGGGAGAGAGAGATGGGAGGAGTCCTCTCTCTCCACTGTAGCCCCGGGGCAGCCTGCACCACAAACTGCTCATCCTCAGCCCCACCCCAGAGCCTGCACCTCCAGCCAGAGCCCCTCACCCCCCCGCACCCAACCCTCTGCGCCAGCCCTGAGCCCCCTCCCTCACTGTGAACCCCTCATCCCTGGCTCCACCCCAGAGCCCTCACCCCAACCCTCTGCCTCAGCCCTGAGCCCCCTCCCATACTCCAAACCCCTCGGCCCCATTCCCGCCACATTAATTTTGTTATGTGCACCAGTATGGAGGTGACGAGCTAAAAATAAGAAGAGCTAAAAATAGTGTAGCAGGACTTGTACAAGACAAATAAGGATCCTGTCAAGTGTCACTCGTTTCAAAGAATAAAAATATCTAGATCCCAAAGCAGGTCAGTATCATCACCCCCATTTTACAGATGGAAACTGAGGCACAGAGCAAGTAAAGTGACTTGCCCAAGGTCCCTCAGCGGGCCAGTGGCAGAACCAGGACTAAAATGCAAGTCTCCTGCGTGCCAGTCTGTTGCACCATCCAGTAGTCCGTGCTGCTTCTCTCTATAGGCACGGGTCCAGCAAAAACTAGCCACCTAGTAAAGGTAGGTCTTTAAAGGCTGAGTTAATTGTACAAGAAACTTTGGTGATGTGAGAAGAACTTGGGGACGGCCTACAAAAGGTGAGTCTTAGTGCAGGCTCCACTGTACAGTGCACTGGTGACCTGATCTGAATCCTATCCAAGTCAATGGAAAGATTCCCACTGAAACAGCCCTGAAATTGGAACAATTTATATACTGGGGGTGCTGAGAGCCATTGAACCAAACTATAAACCCTGTATATAATGGAAACCACTTCAAGCCAGGGGGTGCAGCAGCACCCCCCGCACCCCTACTTCCAGCACCTATGGCCCTGACAACTGGAAAGGTAGATCATTCTGCGGACACATACAGAAGTAAACAGTCAATACAGGAAGCTACGACAGAGATGTTGAGAAATTGCCTTTGAAAAATAAGGTTGAAACGAGAAAGACAATTGATTTGTTATGGATGGGGCTTGGATCTGGATTTGACTGGGGCTTGGTGTTCAAGGCCCCTGGGTTAGGTTAGGGTTCAACAGCACTGAAATATCACAACTGCTTGGGCAGGAGTGTGGCCTGAAATGGGGTAAACCTCAGAAGATCAGTGAGATTTCTGTCACCTTGCAAAAATAGGTCCTTTCTGCCTGGGATCTATCCCAGAACCACCCACACATGGGTTTGGATCGGGGGACTCTCATCCAACCCACCCTGCAAATGCTGGGGCATCTGGGGTCTGTTCATTCTTTTGTACCACCCAGAGCTCCTCCAGGAATGACGCAGCCATTCTGTTTAGTTTTAAATCAGCAGCAAGATGTGCCCAGCTTAAAAATAACTGTTTTGACAGTACTGATATAAATATGTGAATGGCTTGTTCTGCTATTTTCCTTTCGCATTCTTCATTGCCTGATTCTGTGTGGGCTGAAGACAGGCTGAAAGACAGGGTGAGACGGTGCCACCTATAGGACATTCCTCAGTTCCAGTCTGGGTAGGTTTCAGACAGCTGTCAGGAGTCACTTTTTGTTCTTGTACCCCTCATTATTTCAACCAGACCAGACAATGTAACACCTCCCACTCTCTACAGCAGCCAGCCTCATCAACAAACTACATGAAACGACAGGCTTACATTTAAAGTGGGGTTTGAATTTACTGATAGGAAGATGTAGTTGGAGGGGGAATAATATTATTTGTAGGAATGTCAAACTGAGAAAAGTGGAATGAGTGAGATACTCATACATATAGTACAATCCTGCATTAGAAAGAAGAAAGAGATGGACATTATGAAAAGGGAAATCAGATTAACTGATAAAAGAGTCCAACGTGTAAGATCACTGATCTCACATACACTTATGTAACTCTGGACCAACTCCGTTGAAGGTAATAGAGTTACTCTAGGTGTACAAGAATGTAACTGTAAGCAGAACTGGGCCCAAGGTTGCTTCACCAAGAAGCATAAAATCTAAAGCCCCAATCCTGCAAACAATTATGCACGTGCAATGGGACTAGTCACTTGGATAAAGTTAAGCATGTACATAAGGACTTGTAGGGATCAGCAGTAAACATTGTAGCCAAATCCAATTCCAGAAGTGACTAGTGATTTTGGGTGCCTCTTTTTGTGGGTGCCCAACTTGAGGAACCATAATTTTCAGAGCTCAGTGCTTTCTGCAAATCAGACCCGTTTCAGGTATCTCAAGTTGGGCTCCCAAAATCGCTAACCCTTTTTGAAAATATTGTCCTACACCTGGTGGCGTTTGCAGGATTTGGCTCAAAATAGACAGCATAAGTAACTAAATAGTAACAGGATAGACAAATATAAATGCAAAGTTACTTATCAAGTAATGCAAAAAGGAATTGGAAAGTGTCATGGTAAAAGCAGCAGTAAGCTCCAACACTTGCTGTTATAATAATATTTTACAGAGTAGCTTTTATGATGAACGAGCCCAAAGCACTTTACAAACTATATATACATTGCCCCACTGAAATGCAGCCACTTCTGAGGTGGGAGGCAGCAGCGTGGTGAACTGGCCAACTGTGAGAGGTGAGAGAAAAAGTTGGCCAAGGACTGCTTACCTCAGATTTGAGTGCGTTGGACCATTTTCTGGAATGTATCATCTCCTCCTGAGCTTGGACTCAGGTAGCTAAACTTCGATTGAGAGTTCCATAAGGCAATGTTACAAATCTGGGGCCCAATTCTGCCAGCTCTTAACACACTGAACTCTTATTAATTCCACACCGGAACAGATTGCAGGATCAGACTGCTGGAGCCTTCTGTTTTGAATCAATGGAAATTTTATCTGAGTAAGAACTGAAGGATGGGGACCTCGGGGCAGCGACCTTCTTACATGTCTTACTATGGAGCTCTATAAATAAGTAGTATCGGCTTTGGCACATGTTTCCACACTCCCCATTGTAACTCCTTTATCGCTCACTGGGGGGAAATGCAGGGAGGGATGACATTAAAGAAACATGCAGTGCACACACCCAGTGATTAGGGGCCTCCATACATGGCACATTTCAGTGCATGGACTGGTCCAAAACCAGAGAATTAAATAATACATAACAATGACATAATCATGTAAATAATAAAATAAATATTCATAAATACAATATGATAGTGATTAAAATAATACGTAATAATAAATGTTAAATACAATAATGTATAAGGGGATTAAAATGCTAAAGTACAGTAGTGATTTAAGTATTGCAGAATACTAAATGCAACAATAATAATAGTTAATATTAAACCCAGAGATTTCAGCTTGAGCTGAGAACCGATGTCTGAGAAAACTCAGTGCACCTAATACAGCTCCAACCCTGGCTGGGCATGTCCTGTCCCTTTATGTCTGAGGTTGCATGGGAATGGTATAGTCCTGTGGAGTAAGAGAGGCAGATCCTCTCCCGGGGGTTGTCGGTGGTATGGCCCTATGGGCGAGTGGTAGCGCCCGCTGACCCCCCCCCCCGGCGGCACCCACTCACGGAGTTGGTACCGCCCACATGGGCGTGGCCGGGCGGTGGTTGGCTGCGAGGCGCCCCGGCGGGCGGTTTGAAGGCGGCTGGGTGGGCGCCGGCCCGGCCGTGGGAGGATGAGGGCGGGGAGCTATCGCCGTCTCCTTCAGCGTCCGGCGGGGAGACCGAGGTGAGGGCCACCACGAGAGCGCGCAGCAGCCTGCGGGGTGGCCGGGAGAGCGAGGGGCTTAGGTATGGGGTTGGGAAGCTCCTGGGGCAGAGTACGCATGCGCTGAGGGAGAGTGACGGGGAGGACTCAGATGCACAGGCTCTTCAAGCGCCGCTCCAGCCCGAACTGACGGGACCTCGTGGCGCAACGGTAGCGCGTCTGACTCCAGATCAGAAGGCTGCGTGTTCGAATCACGTCGGGGTCAGGGTGCCCCTCCCTGCAGGGGGATTTATTTTACACATTTAACAAAATAGAGGAGGGGTGGGGGGCGTGTCCTCTAGCGTAGTGCGATAAGGGGGGTCGATCCCCAAACACAAACCCAGGCAATGTTAGAGAGGGCTCTGGGGGTCCCCCAGTAACGATAACTGGGAAGGGTGGGGGTACCTGTAATCAAATAGAAGGAGATGGTGCATGGCAGGGGTGCCCCTAAAAGTAAAATGAAGGAAGATGGGGAATCCCCCAAGCTAGGAATAGTGCATGGGGGTGCAATTAGAGACAGTGGGGAAGCAGCATGGGGTTCCCCCAAAGCAGAGGGAGATAATGGGAAGGATAAGGATTCCCCGAATTAAAACAAAGGGCAGTTGGGAGGCAGGGTTGCAGGGTAGAGCTCTGGGCAGGAGTCACCCCAGGGAGCATTTTTTTGTATACATCCACTCATAGGGCTTGTCTATACTGCAGTGGCCCAGCTGCAGGTTTTCAGTGTAGATGCTACCTAGGCCTGTTGTGGGAGGGATTCTCCCTCTGCACAGGTAATCCACCTCCCCAAGAGGCAGCAGCTAGGTTGTGGTCAGAATTCTTCCCTCACCCTAGCACTGTTTACATGGGGAGAGGGAATAGGTTGGTTTAACAACCCTGCTTCACACCCCTGTGTGATGTATCAGGGGGTAGCCGTGTTAGTCTGTATCTACAAAAACAACAAGGAGTCTGGTGGCACCTTAAAGACTAACAGATTTATTTGGGCATAAGCTTTTGTGGGTAAAAACCTCACTTCTTCAGATGCATAGAGTGTGCATCTGAAGAAGTGAGGTTTTTACCCATGAAAGCTTATGCCCAAATAAATCTGTTAGCCTTTAAGGTGCCACCAGACTCCTTGTTGTTTCTGTGTGATGTAGTTAAGCCAACTCAATTTTCTAGTGTAGACCAGGCCACAGAAATGTAGGGCTGGAAGGCACCTCCTCAGGCAATCTGCTACTTCATCCTGTTGCAGCCGACCCCTCTCTTGTTCGCTATTGCACTCCTGCTTAGCTCCCAGGGAGGGGTGTATGTTCCTGTCCTTTGGATGCAGATGCTCAACTGCTTGTGACTTCCCCTGAGTGAGGATGATAGAGTGAGTTTTATGCCTTCCTCTTCCTTTTAAAAACACTATGTACATGACACAGTTCTGGCATATATTCCTACGGCAGTCTTCTTTAGTCTCAGCAAAATCAACTTGAAAAGAGGGATCATTATAGATGTAAATCCTAGACAAGTACTTATGATTATTGGTTAAACACTGCGCTTGTGCAGCATTTCTTATAATTCACAGTTGTGTTAAGATGCAAACTACATAAGCAAAGTAAACTGACACTACTGGGTTAAAATTACATGGGGGAGGGAGGGTGAGCCTCATTTGCCTATATAAATTACACCAAAGGTTAAACTGAAATAATCAATGTTTGATTTATTTTTCTCCTTTTTTCCCTTTAATTGAATTCTACTAGTTAGTTTCGCTCTGGTTATCATGCAGAAATTTATGCTACAGTGCTTAAGTTACAAACAATTAGAGGATGTTTACATCCCAACAAAGCTGTTTTACTAACACTTAAGTCAGGAGGAGGCAGGGTGGGTATAAAGCTTTTTGTTTTTTCCAAAAACAAAAACAAAACCACCCAAACCTCCACAAATCTAAATTTGGGGCCTGATAACATCAACTACCAACAAATCTAGCCAACTTAAAAAAACAAATCTGAGGTTGTTTTCAACTATTGCACCTGCCTCTGAGTTCCTCTGCCAATGCATACAGCTTCACAACCACACTTTCTGATTTCTAAAATTCTGTTCTCTTCTTTGCTGTATGAAATACCCTAATAAATATAACAGAGGAAACGGACTACAATTGGGGAAACAGAGAAAATCTCTACATAGAGTGCTGCTGTCAGATGCATAAAGCAAACAAATTCTCAGTGTTGAGAAGGATATTTTGCTCTCATCTTTCAGTTTATAGCATTGTTAGGTGTTTCTCGTAACGACAGTGGGGAAGAACACTTTCAGGCAGAGTAGGCTTTTTAAAGTTGATAGTGAGTCTCTAACTGCTTTTGACAATGTTGAAAATGTTATCCATTCTTCTCAATGTATTGAGCATAGTCTCATGTGATCATGAGGTGCTGAGCAATTGCAGCTACCATTTGCTTCAGTGGGAGCTGTGAGTACTCAGCATCTCTCCAGAACAGTAACCTTTGAGAAAGGTAAACAAAACAAATGCACCAGTAACTACTAGATCATTAGACAGTTCTATGACATGACACAGTTAAGCCGCTTTTTGGAAAGTCATTCAGTCAGTAGTTGCCTGGAACAAACAATTGCTAACCCAATTTTTGGAACTAATTTTACCTAATAATGCCCTTTTTTAATTTAGTCATGATGACATTGCAGTGTCATGGTAGCTTGGAAAGTGACACATGCACTTGGTTACTCAAACTATTTTGGATTGGGAAGCAACAGATGGCCTTATAAAAGTGTTGTCTATTTCACAATAGAAAAAGCTTTTGAGTGCTCTTGGATTCTAACCCTTTAAACCTTCATTTCAAGAGGTTTTATTTTGTACACCTGAATTTCCTTTAACCGTGGTCTTTAGTGCTCTACTGTTCAATGTTCAGTCTCTTTTCCTTAGATGGTTTTTGTTATGACTAGATTGTTCACCAAATCTCGCTGCAACCAAAAGTTGTTTTGAGCTTATCTGTTTCCTCAATTTCTATTTATTTAGAAAAATAATTTCTGACTAAAAAGAGCTGAAGTTGAATTTCCCGTTTTGTCCAGTGTACTGTCCTCCTTGATGTTTTTAAATTAAGAGAAAGTTGATGGACAAAACCAATAATTCCAAAAGCCTTGATTAAGAGTCCTCTGAATGAAAGATGCTATATTAAAATCATTCATATGACTACAAGATCTAGAATTAAGTCTAAACCTAGCTTTTGTGGGGCTGAATGTCCTATATCCTTGCCACATTGACTCTGATACCCAAATATACGGACTTGATTTTGTGTTTTAGTTGCATGTTGGAGGTTGCGGAGGGACAGGAAGTGTCACGGGGAAACTTGAGGCAGGTGAATAGCATCTCTTCAAATGGATGAACCAATAAAGAGTTTTATGTTTATGCATAAAAATGACTGAAAAACAGCACTTTCAGTCCTTTCAGTTTTCTGCTGCTAGTTAACTGTTGAGGTCTTTATGGAAATAGGCTTTGGCAGATGGCCATTTGAAATGCTGTTCATTCAGTTTGGCTGACTCCTTTGTTAAAATAATGTATTTGTAGATTAAGTGAATGTTGTACGCTCATCCTTTTCAGGTTGCACTTGTATTTAAATGGAATGTGGCTTCCATGGAACGGGAACTGAACACAATTTAAGATAATTGTTAGTCTTGTTTTAATCCTAAGTGCGAGATACGTCACTGAAGGCTCCCAGCTCTTGTTTCCTTGTAACACGTTCTTACTTTGAAACATGTGGCATTCTAAGGGAATCCTATTTTTACTTATGCCTTTAGTGAAAAGTGCATAGTATAATACAAAGCTAGATTAAGGATTTTAAATGTCTACCCCAGTGCTAGCAGAATAATTTTCCTATAACGGGCAGAGGGGGGTGTTTCTTGCTTTAAACCAGCTGAAATATGCCAGGTACTTAGTAAATACTAATTTCTAGCTTTGTTATTCTAGGGGCCAAGGACAGGTTGTTATGAGGCCTGTCTGTGGTAGGGAATAAACATCTGAAGAAATATTGTTTAATATTAGTCACCTCCAGTGAGCTTGGTTAATATAATGGCCGAGTGAATATCAGAACTTTAAAATGGCGCTAACTATTTGCTGCCCTAATGTTTTAAAATGAACTGGAACACAGAACTCTAATAACGTCCTTCTTAAAATACCTATCAGCCGGTGACTTCTAGGTGCATCATAGTGTGCAGGCATGTTCCCTACAGTCTGACCAGATTTTTGTCTTGTCCTAAGCATTTCAAGCGATGGCTTCCCCCCCTCCCCCCCCAATTCTCTGGGAAGACTTCTTCTACAGTGTAGTTGATCTCCTCTATAGGAAGTTTTCATTAACATTCAGTCTCATTCAGCTATACATATTTAGTGCTCTTAATCTTGCCTCATAAATAAATCACTCCAGACTCATTATTTTTGTTGCTCTTCTGAATTATCTTTTGTCTTAGTAATTAATATACAGTATCCTTTAGTCAAGGACTGTAACTAATCCCTTCTATTGAGGTGTCCAGAAGTGAATGCAGTATTCTAGTCATGCTCTCAACTGAGTGGGATAGACAGAGTATCTCTTTCCTTTTCCATAGCGTGATGTCTCTACGACCCCCAAAACACTAGCATTTCTGCTGTTCTGTCCGTTTACTATAGCTCCTAGAACTTTGTAGATATCACAGATGTTCTTTTGAAGTATCACTTCCATAAATATCTATCACGGATTAGCTTTCCCCATATGTATTTACTTGCCTTCTGCCATAGCTGCATCTTGTAGTTCTAACCTCATTAAGCTGTTATGCTATTTTCAGGCCTCACCGGCGTAATAGATTGGCTTTTCTTCTTCCCAGCAAAATTCCTCCTTGTAATGAACCTGCAGTGAAGTCACAATCTGGTTTGACACCAGTCTATTACCGTGGAAATTAATGATGTCACAGATAAGTCACTAGAGTCTTTATTCTGGGCACGAAGAGCAGGGGCATTGGGCTTTTAGAAAGAGGATGTCCTTTTTAACATCTGTAGCTGTTTTAATTACAGAGTCAGAATTTCATAAGATCATGTGAGGGGGTAAGTGAATTTGTTTGGAATATCCGAACAATCTCCAAGACTGTTTCTAACCTGGCATAAGAGGGATCTGTAATTCCCATCAGTAGAGCTGTCCCAGTGGAGAGTGACCGATCGTAATTTTGACCAGGGTAGATTCAGCCTTAGGAAATGAGACACCCTCATTTTAAATTGAAATGGGTCTTTTTTGGGGATACCTTCTTTTTTTAAACCCCCCTTCCCCCCCAAAAAAAGGCTGATGAATGTTGAGGCACAAATATGTCGTGAAACGGTGACATAAAATATCTAGACTTAGTTCTTTAAAATCATGTACTTTGTAGTAAAAATGTGTAGGTCATTTAGAAAATTTCTTTTTCACTACAAAGAAATTAAGGCTTTGTATCCTGGGCTTCAGCCAAGAGATAAGAGACTTGTTAAACTATGCTTAAATATAGTTGGTTGACTGGCTCCCTGCATGGAAAAAAATGAGTGCAAGGTATCTGAGATGACCCATTAGGGTCTTTGTTCTAGAATTTTCATTAGACACTTGTAGGTACAATTAATCTAATTTTTAAAACCTCTTCGAGTTCAAATGTGTTCTTTAATAAAAAGATCTATGGTGGGGCCAAGTGTTAGGTGTTCAGCTCCCATTGGAAATCAGCAGTTGGATGCCTAACTCCCTTGTGCTGCTTTGAAAATCCCAGTCTAAATATAGAATTCTAGAACTAGACAGAAGGTCTGCTCTTAATGTTACTGAGGCCTGATTTAAACACAAAGTTTAATCCGTTTAGCTACCAGTGTGATGTTAAACTGGGGCAATTTTGTGTCAATTTAAACCTAGTTTTATGTCAGTTGAGCTTGGACCTGTACATTTTAACTAAGGGCACGTCTTCACTACCCGCCTATCCGGTGGGTAGCAATCGGTCTATCGGGGATCGACTTACCGCGTCTAGTGAAGACGCGATAAAATCGATCCCTGATGGCTCTACCGTCGACTCTGGAAATCCACCGCGGCAAGAGGCGGTAGCGGAGTCGACGGCGGCGCGACAGCGGTCGACTTGCCGCCGTCCTCTCAGCCAGGTAAGTCGATCTAAAATACGCCACTTCAGCTACGCTATTCACGTAGCTGAAGTTGCATATCTTAGGTCGACCCCCCGCTGTAGTGTAGACCTAGCCTAAGTGCCCACAGTGGGGTTTGTACTGGTTTAACCAAATCTGTTTTTAAACTGGTGCAACTTGTGTGTAGACAAGCTCTGGGTAAAACTCTGCTACAATCTTTGAGTATGGTTTTTTTAGATGCTTTGTTTACTATTAAAATAAAATTTCTGTTGAGGTGACAGGGTTTTGAATTAGCTAGTGTTACAGGATAAAAGTCTACAAACCTGGCTAGTGAAGGTTTTTTTTTTTAATTAGACAGTGACAAATCACTAGCAGAGTGTCAGTTTAAGGTTGGCTTTGATCATATTGTAATATGTAATTCTATTGCAGTAATAGTCACTGCAATATTAACCCATCTCTGGTAAATGATGGGTAGAAGTGAGTGATCCTGGACAACATATTGTTAAGTTCAAGTCTCAGATCATAAATAACAGAGTGAGAACTTGAATTGATGTCTAACTATTTTCCCGTGATGCAAAGCATTACGGTTTGGTTGTATGTTTTAAGACGTTTGGTAAACAAGTGTAGAATTTATGTATTTGGAATAACCTAATTCTAATGCATTGTCAACTAATCTTGAGATTAAAAACTGGACGGTCTGCTCCAAACTGAAAAACTGTTTGAGGACTGTTTTTCTGTCTTGCAGAGCATCTCATATGCTGATGACAGTCAATAAATAATAAAGGCATATGAAAGTGCACCACAGATGTCTGTTCTATCAACAATATGTGGACTTGTCTGCCAGTGTTTCCTGTACTGCTTCTAAGACTTCATTCTGACATTTATGTGTAGATTGAAAAAATCAAGTGCTCGGATGAATACAGTGTTCTGCTTTTATAAAACATCACCCTTCTATAGCACCTTCCATGTGCGAATCCCCTAGGGCTTTGTAAACATTAATGAATTAAACCTCACAACATCCCTGTGAGGCATTAGACCGATGGGGGAGATGGACACAGAAGCCAAGCAAATAGAATGAAACCACTTTAATTAGATCTTCTCCAGTTGTTCTGTCAAGGTAGAGTGGGTCCCAGACACAATCTGAAAAGTTGCATAGACTGGCTGGCTCCTAAGCCTTTTCTTCCCACTAAAGGGAACGGGAAGCGAGTGAAAGAGGCGTGGCTTTAGGCAATGCTTTTGCCCCTTTAAAATAGCTGGATCTCTACAGACTCTCTTCCAATCAGAAAGGCACCTGTTATAATCAAAACCAGGGCACAAGAGACCAAGGCGTGGAAGAGCAGCTGTTGCATGCAGTCATGCACAGTATTTTTGTGCTAGAAATGATTCATTTAGTCTGTGTAATATATATGGAAATGTGCTGTGGGAATGTCAGTCTGGTACTTGAAAATAACCTATCTTATTAATATAACCCAGACAAAGCATATCTTTGACTTGCAGATCTTATAGGCTTTCCCTTCGGTCATATAGGCATAGGCAATCTGCCTCTTACCTCTAGAAGCTTTACTGGAGACTATTAAATCTACATACATACAACTTGGACAGAGTGGCAGGCCTGAAAGGGACACTTCTCCATCACTACAAACATAAACTGAATAATGATACAATATTTTTAGGTTGCTGCAGAGACAGCCAGCAAAAGGAAAGCAAGTTAACAAAACCATATTTCTAGAGCATTCATGACAGACAAGGCAGTGAAGAAGGCAGGATCGGGAGGTTGGGGGAGAGGGAAGGAGGAGAAATGGTTCCCAAACTCTTGATACTGCAAACAATGGAGATCTGAACTATAAAGGGATACTCAAAGTACTGTTCTAAACATGTTGCGCGCGCACACACACACACACTCACTCACTCTCTTTTTACCTCATTTCCGGAGCCTCCTCTGAAATTTGAGCACACCATCTCTTGTTCCACTTACCTGTAATTGTCAATTAAATATAATTTGTTACCTATAATTTGCCACCTAACTTTGTATGAAAGCTCTAAATCTGTAGATACTGAAATCTTTGATGGAATAGTGAGGCACTTGGAAACCATTCCAACAGTGGCAGGAAACCCGAATATAACTATTCCAGTTTATCTAAATATATAGAAGTGATTAATAAAACAGGATTTGCAGAGCAACAGGATAAATGCTTAAAGATGCCTTTGTCCTGTACTTAGCTTTCATGGTGAATTCTCGTATCTTATTCCAAAGGTTCTGCTGTTGGAAAAGATGGCCCAGGTTACTGTTGGTGTGTTGATAGAAAAGCAAGAACAAGAAAACCGAGATCAAGACACAACAGATGAAATCAGCATTAAACTACTGAGTGACAATGAATTGCAGGAAAAGCTTGTCATGTATGGTGCCGAGCCTGGACCAATACTACGTATGCTTCAAATTAATTATGGTTCTGACTGGGAACAGATGGGGAAGTAGAATCTAATCTAAAGTGAGAAATTGGGTCTCAACCCAACTCAAAAACATAAGACAAAAAACAAAGGCCTGAGTTTTCAAAAGAGCTCAGCTCCCATTTAAGCACCTAAATGATGTGCCCAGCACTTGTTTTCAACTGGAGTTGCTGGGTCCTGAGCTCATTGTAAAATCCCTGAAATTTAGGATCAGATTTTCAAACAATAAAACTAATTCCACAGCAAACCAATTGTTATTAATCCCCTTGTATTCTGAACGGCTTATTTTAGCTTCTACAAGGACTCTTTATGAGAATAAACTACTGCAGTTGATGAATCCACGTCCACAAGGATTATGTGGCAAGCCAAAGGAAAGTGGAGGTCTTGATCGGAGCTCAGAGAGTGAGGAAGAAAAAGGTATAGTAGTAAACTTTTTGGATGCAGAAATTAAGTGTCAGTTTATCAATCTTAATATTTTGTATGTTTGAGAACATTTAGTATTACCATGTGAGATTTTTCTGTGTTGCCTAGGAACCTATTTTCCATTAATTCCAATGGGAGTTAGGCCTATCTGCATCTTTGAGCGCTTCAAAAATCTGGCCTTAAGTGATTTAGGAGCACAAATCCCATTGAGAGTCAATGGGACTCATGCTCCTAAGGCCTGGTTTACACTAGAAAATTAGGTAATCATAATTATGTCACTCTGGGGTGTGAAAAATCCATATCCCTGACCAGTGCAGTAAAGCCGACCTAAATCCCTGGGTAGATGGCTAATCCACCTGTCTGAAATTATTTTAACAAAAGTATCTCAATGGTGACTTTTTATGAAGGAAAGTAATCTTGCTGCAATAGTTCTGTGAGTCTTTGCAGCCGAACTCCAGAGCAATTTCTTAGGTCAAATCCCTTTTGTCCCTTCCATATTGTGCTCCTCATAGAATCATGGGGTGAAATCTTGGTCCGATTGAAGTCAGTGGGGGATTTGTCATTGACTTTAGTGGGGCCTGGATTTCACCTATTGTTCTTACTTTAGTGTGGCTTAATGGGTTTGTGGTCTAAAACTGTTTTATCACCTCTTGCTGTCTTCCACTCCACCAGTCCCCATCTTGCACTTCATTATCAAGTGCGCCCCCTCCATACTGTTTGGTATATGATTTTATTTTTTAAACCAAAACTATAATGGCACATGGTTTATTCAGTGTCAGTAGAGTTGTAGGCTGACTCTGCTCTGAGATGGAAAACTAAAAATGCTATGAAACATGGATTCAGCAGCAAATGTCCCTGGGTCCTGTAAAAAAAAAAAAAAAAAATTCAGATCTGGGTCCTGTAACCCAAATAAACCACGCACATTGCAAGACTTGCATGTATTACACAAATCAGAAAATAAGTTGCCTTGGCTTTTGGATGGCATCTTCAATCTCCTCTCATGCTGAAAACACTGGGACTGGTCAGTTTGAAGAGGAGAGAAATAAGGAGACACAATCAAGGCGTACAGAGCAAGAGTTTTGAGAAGGTAAATTAGGGACATAGAATTTATTTGTATTGGAGAGATGCCTAGGAACCCTAGTCATGGACCGGAACCCCATTGTGCTAGGCTCTGGACAAACACAGAACAAATGAATGCAACTGAATGGTTATCAATATTCAGTTCATTAAAGGAAACACTTGTTTACATGATGCACAGCTAACCTTTGTAACTCAGTGTCACAAGATATTATTGAGTCTGAGGGCAAGTCTGTGCTGCAAAATTAAGTTGACCTAAGTTACATCGCCACTGCAGTAATCGAATCTGTTTTACACGTCCATTCTATGCTCCTTGTGTCAGTGATGCGCATCCTTACCAAGAGCACTTGCACCGATTTAACTGCCAGCATGGGGCATTGTGGGACAGTTGCTGAAAGGCAGCAACTGTCAATGTAAGCAACACAGTGTCTACACTGACACTGCGTCAACCTGACTATTGACCTAAGTACTACATCTCTCGTGGAGGTGGAGTTAAGTAGGTGTAGTGGGCGAGTTAAGTCAGTGGGAACTAAATTTTACTGTTGATGCTTTCAGAGTTAAGGCGACGTAAGCTGCCTTACATTGACCTAACTCGGTAGCATAGACCAGGCCTGAGATCTTAGCTAGATTTTTATAAAAAGGGACTATTATTATTACACTAATACCTCTTTACAGTACTCTGAGGGGCAAATCTGCAGTTGGTGTAAACAATCATAACGCTTATTGAGGATTTGCTTCTGACATTGTAAAGGGCCTTAAATTGGCCCCTAACTTGGTATAACGTAGAGTCAGGTCCTATATGGAAAATGAGAACATCCACTGTTAAATGAGACGTTTAGAAGTCTGAAGAGATGTAAACCGGCATGTTTCAGGGCATAAGCCAATCTGTGTGGGAATTAGGAAGCAATTTATTCTATAGGCAGGTTGTTCTGTGACTGCCTGCCACAGAGTTGCCTGAAACATCTGGCACTGACCGCTGTCTGACATGCTATTGAACCTGATGGCCCTGTGGTCTGATGTGGCATGCTAACTCCTTTGTGAATATCAAGGAAATTGGAAATCTCTTCAGAGGAAAAAACGAATGTAGGGTTTTCTCTCGGCAGAAGTGTAACGTTCAGTAGCTCAATCCTGAAGATCTTTTTGGGGAACTGCATAGAACTGAAAACCAAGCTTTGCTTTTTTTTTTTTTAATCGCTCATAAGCCTCCTTTTAAGTTCCCATCAAGGAGATAGCCAAGTCTCTCATTTATTTTACAGGCTGTAAGGAATTGCTAACTTTTTAAAGCAATTAGTTTGGTGGGGCAATTTCTGTTGCTTTTGAAAAAAAGGAGTTCCAAAATCCTGAGCGGATTAGAAGTGTTTTGAAAAATACTAAACCAACAGCTGCACGTCGGACTAATCTGACAGCATAGCAGCTGTCCTAACAAAAACATAGCTAGCTCAAACAAGCCTTCTTTTTATATTGAGTGAAAATAATTTAAAGGAAAAAACACTTTCCTGGTTCTGTTGCATCATGCTATGGAATGGATAAGGAATTGTTTACTCGTTAGTTTTGTGGACGTGATTGCCAATATATGAATACTGTTCTGACACCTCTCCTGCCCCTTTACCCCTGAAGACTTTAATCTAATCCTCTGTTAGGCAGACCGCTGGCATTTGGGCACATTGCCTCTTTGCACCTTCTCATCTATGTATTTGTATGTTGCCCATCACCATTGCATCTAGGTGAAAGCACAGGAGAATAATTAAGCAAAGCAGTTTCTAAAGATGGCTATCCTATAGCTCTTGTTCTGAAGTGTTGACTCAGGCAACATGGCATAGATACTCCAGCATAATTTACTCTTTTAAGGGCCTCACTTATTAGTTTTTCCCTCTCCTTATTCAGAGAACAGTACTGAAGTAGTCCTTGAAACAAAAGACTTCAAAGTGACAGCAGCTTGTGCCACTGGCTACAGTAAAGTAAGTAACCTACTAATGCATGAATATTTTATGTAGCTGCTGCTACATGCAGGAAATTTCAAGTTAATAGAACCTGATGTTCTTTGTATTAAGCTCTTGACAAATGCAGCAATTACCTTCAATCAGTTAATTACAGTATGCTTCTATGGCACAACTTCTACCGTACAGCCCAAGGAAATCTACTGTGAAATAGTCAGCTCGGGTGTTTAAGAATATGCCAAGTTGATTTCCTGATATACAAAGTGCCCAAGTAATTATAAATGCCGACTTAAAATTAACTATTAAATATTGATTCAATTACCAGTGTTTCAGCATGTTAAATAACATTTAAGCTTAGATTTTAAAGGGATACAAAGTAAGGTGACCATTGTAAGTGGTGTGAAAACCAGTTCCTATAAATCTTAAGACTAGACACATCCCATTTATCTAAAGTTCTTATAGGGAAGTGCTGTTATCCCCATCTTACATTATAGATGGGGAACTGAGGTGCAGAGAGAAACTAGTGACTTGCCCAAGGCTGCACAGGGAGTTTGTGGCAAGGCATGTAATTTAACTCGAGTCTCCTGAGTCCCAGCTACTGCTCTAACCATTGGACAGCCTTCCTCATGTTTCTTCATATTTTACAGGAAAAAAATTCCTAATTACAACAATTGGCTTCAGATGTTGCCCTGCAGCATTTGAAGAAAGCTTAAGTGATAAATACCATACTAAGATGTGGTGGCTCCATCTATGTAAAATAAACAGTTCAATATTGTGCCATTCGAAAAATATGGACCTTTAATTAAGATCACTGTCAGTAAAAAGTATTGTGGATTTCTTTTTCTTACAGGCTCCACACACTGAATTTTCAGAACGCCACAAGAAACTCCTAGCACCTGATGCAGATTACAGTCTTGCCAAGATCGTGGCAGAGGAAAGTACCCACCCTCCCAATATTTTAATTTATGGTTACGTTGGTGCTCCTAACAATTCACAAATTTTGTGCATGAACTTGCATGAGAAAAAGCTTCTCTTTAGGCATGCTGTAGTGCAGCTGAACGTTCCTTCACTGCTTCTTACTTCACCTACCGCTAACTTTTCGGCAATGGTTATTAGTGATCAGGGATTGACCTATAACATCGGCTTTGGCCTATTTGCATCTTGTTCATATAGAAAAGTCTTATCGTTCAAATTACATACTAGAAATAGTCACGAGAATAATTCCCTTGTGAAATTACTGGTCCAAGTCAATGAAGGTGTTCCATTAACTGTCAAATGGGCCATATTATAGACATCTACATTGGGCCTTTAAAAAAATAAGTAGCAATCGAATATCAGCTTGCTTTAACAACAGTTTCTGCTCTATCTTGAGGACTACTTTACATGTCTGATGTGTGAAGCACAGATGATTCCAAGTTCTTGGTTACATTGTTTTTTGTTCGTTTGTTTAAATCAGCAATGCACAATAAATGAAGGTGTAGACTTATTGTCACAGGTGGAAAAATCACTAGTAGTCATTTCTTGGATAAGCGCAGGTTGTTAACTGCAAGAGAATAGTCTCTTGTGCACAGTATTCTTGACCTTGATACAGCAGTTTTGACCAGGACAGTATTCAATTATGCATAGATTGTTTACCCTTCCAATTAATGAATGCCTGTCTTGGATATTAACAGCTAGAGCAAATATTGCCAGAGGATAAGTTGCCAGCACATCGGCCACAAGGACAGAAGAGGTCAGGTGACAGCAGTCCCCAGGCTACTCGTAGGACAAAGGTACTCTGGCATCAATTAACTTATAATAAACTGGCTTTTTTCCAGAAAATCTTCCAAAAGTGGTATCCACAAAACTGTGTCCCAGAGCAAATAGTAAAGCAAAATGGTGCACATGATATATCGCTGAATAACATTTAGCTACCTAATGCACTATCCATTCACTTCAAAATTCCTTTCCTTGGTCTTGCATTTGATCCCTTATACAAATCTTCCCTTACCCTAATTTAAGACAAAGTAGCACTACCTCAAAGGTGGACTCTTAAAACAAGCGAAATGCACACACAGTTGCATGCCTCCTTTTAAAGAATAGAAAATAATCGCAGAATGACGCTTCTTTGTATTTATAAATCAGCAAGAGATGATCTTGAAACTGTATGATGAATACTTAATAACTTTATGCAAGATTTCAGTGCAGGAGAGTTGAATTTGTTTTAGGCCCCGGTCCTGTAAAGTCTTATAACAGAGCACGAAGTTAAGCACACGCCTACATCTTTACCAGATTGGGGCACTAGATTGTGATGTCTTTAAAGTGAGGATAGCCAGAAGCTGGGACTGGACAATCAGATGGATTACTTGATAATTGTTCTGTTCTCTTCATTGTGTCTGAAGCATCTGCACTGGCCACTGTCAAAGACAAGATACTGGGCTAGAGGGACCCTTGGTCTGCCCCAGTGTGGCTGTCCTTATGTTTGTACAGCAACCAGCACAGTGGGTCTCCGCTCCTGATGAAGGCCTTTGGATGCTATGATAACATAAATGTTGATATATCACTGTTTCTTTTTCATTCTGAGGGCTTTAGACCAGACCTATTGTGTGCTTCAGCCCATAAACCTAGCTTATCCATAAAAATAATTGTTGACTCGCCGTTGAACACTTTTTGTTGGTATCAGTGAATAATAGTCAGCCTTCCAACAACCTAACAGGGTCCATTTGGAGTAGTGCCATTGTAATCTTTTGAACAGATTCAGTCTTGAATTTCATATTTGCCCTAAATGCCCTAAGTGTTACAGCTCAAAAAAAGCTTAAAACCCATCATTTCCCCCTCCCCCATTATTCCATTTCTTTCTTACCTGAACCACTTTTTTTTTAATTGCAGTGGTGATTTTTGTTCAACTTGTTTATATGGGCCATTGAATTCGTGGATTTAGATCATATGTCCAGATACAAAGTACTTCTTATTGTGGAATGTTGATTTATTTACTTAAAGTAAGCTGTAATCACTTGCTTCTTTGGCAGGGTAAGATCATGCTGGACAAGAGCACAATGACTTATCGAACACCAGCTAATACTCCACAGGCCTCAATATTTGTTAAACAGAGTAGACTGCAGGCAACTAATCTATTTTTTTTTTAAACTTAATTTCCTGGGTGGCTGTAAATCCTTCACAAGGTGTCTTTTCTGGTCACGATAGAGGAAATATCCACTTTAAACAAAGTTATTTGAAGGCCGCTTCCACTCACTGAATTGCTTCTTATTAGAAAACAAAGAATTTGGTTATTACGTTTCTGGCACAACTCTCCTTCCGGCTTTTGTGATCACAGCTAATGTTCCAGGCTAGCACTGGGCACATAATTGCCCTTTCCCATTCATCTTGTTTTTGGTCATTGTAAATCCACCAAGATGAATCCTCACTCCAAAAAAGTTAACTATGATATTCTTACTCTCTTAATTATCCACAACTTGTTCAGGGGCTTCAGCAGTTGGGAGTAAAGGATCCTGCGTAAAGTCTATTTACTAAATCTCCCACTATAAACTTTCTTCTCTTGTTAGGCAGCTGACACAACGGGTTGCTCAATTGGCAAAAATGATGGTCAAGGTGAAACATGGTTTCCTGATCCCCGGTCTCCCATAGGAATAAGGTAATGCTCTTCAGCCATTCACAAAGAGTGATTTGATACAACTGCACTACTTATCAATAGCCTCTCTTCCTTCCTATTCCCTTGGCAGTTGAAAAGCTGAGACTCCAACAGGGTCTTCCATGGATGGTTAGGTCTCTGGTCAGAAAAGAAAGCTTTGGCTTATAAAAAATGTTGGTAGGCAGCACTGAGGTGAGGTAGGAAAGAACTACAGAAAGCTCATGACATACACAGCCACTTCTTAGAATGTATATTCTCTTCAGCTGTCAAGTCTTTCCATAATGTGTTGGAGAAGGGGGGGGGCGTTAGCCAGGGGAATGCAGAAGTTGCAAGTTACTATATTTAAGTTCTTGGGTGACCCAGCCAATGGGCCTTGAATTGGGGGGACCTCTTTTACCTGAGAAGAGTCTAATCTCCATGGCGCAGTGGATCTTTTTCTCTGAGTGCCATTAAGAGTACCATTTATTGGCCCTTGTGATTTGGCCGCTTTTCACCTAGGAATTAGACACAGACCTGCTAACTCATTTCACATAAGCTACCAAGCAGCTTAAAGATGGTGATGATGTTTAGTCCCCTGGGGCTGACTTGAGCCATTGATGTAGAGGTGAGAGAGGAAGGATTACTGGTTAAATCACTGGACTGGGACTTGGGAGATTTGGGTTCAGTTCTGAGCTCTGCCACAGACCTTGAACAAGTCAGTTAATCTCTGTGCCTTATCCATAAAACAGGGAGGAGGATAACCCTTGTCTGTTTAGACTGTAAGCTCTTCAGGGACAGAGTTTCTCTCATGTGTATGTACAGTACCTAGTACAATGGGGTTCCAATCTTGCTTGGGAATACTAGGTGCTACATAAAATACAATAATTAGTAGTACAGAGACTCCATATTGAATCACTGAATCCACTGGGCCATTCACTAGCGTCCACTCTTCCCTGTTCTGAGTTTCATAGGAGAGAAAACACTGACCCCGAATGGACTAGAACAAGAGATGTGCACTGTTCTAATGCACAAAAAAAGCTGGTGTCTCTTGTCCTTTTTGCAGCAGCCAATATCTGCTTGAAGAGACATGAGCTTTGATAAAAGGCTGTGTTCCTGGAGTGCTTTGAAGTGGCAACTAGAGGTACTGCCAATCAGTGTCACAATAAAAATGAACAGCTTAATTTTTTTAATCTGGGGGGTGGCATACAGATTCTAAACATCGGTCGTCTTTGTTTCAAAAATTCACTACTCGGTCACTGAAACTAGTGTAGAGGCTTTTAGCTGTTTCTCTCTTTTAGGTATGAGCTTCCTTTGCAGCTCTGCAAAAAAGCTACTTTCTAATTCTTTAGAGCTTCTCCTAGACAAGAACTCGTCTCCTCCTGCTGCCTTAGAAGGCCTTGCGGAGGAGCGCTTATCTTGCAGTGCAGCTCATTAGACAAAAGGAGTCCTGACCTGTGGATTTTGCTTCTGTTGGTTACCAACCAGAATGCAGTGTTTCCCAATACCACTTTACCGTCACTGTTAACACAACAAATAGTGACCATATGGCAAAAGCCCATCTGGGAATGTATTCCTTCCAGTTCTATATTAAGGAAGGGCATGCTGGTCCATGCTGTGTTAAAATGAACTTCCTGGCTGCAATGGGTGCCCAGCCTGAGTTTAAAGCATTCCTTGGCTGTCCCCATATACGCAGTTCACAAAAACTACCTATTATGTTAATCTCAAAGGATCTTGTTTGATCATATGGAGGTTTGCTTCAGCTTTGGCTATATTTTAGTTTGTCTTGATCACAAGAAGCCTCATCCCTGGTGCTATATTTCTCTGATCCTGTGTGCTTAAGTTTGAAAGGTAACGGTGGATGTCTTAAACTTTAAAAGTTGTCTTAAACTTTACCATCCTTTTCACAGTCCTGCTAGGAGAAGATCAGTGAGAGAGAGTGACCCATCAACACAGAATATTGTGGAGAAATCCAAGGTGGAAAAGGAGAATCTTGAGGCAGCAGCATTAGAGCGGGAGGAGGCCCGTCGAGGAATCATACCGATGCCCATAAGGATTGCTATACTCGCTATCTTTGTTTTCATACTCTTTGTATATGTAACTATGGAGACCAACCCAGACAATCCATTCACAAACTTCATCACAGGAAGAGGATAGTAGTGCTGTCCTGACACCCAGCTAGGGAGCATTTAGGAGTGACTACAAAACAAAGCAAACGCCTTTTTCGCTCCCTACTTACATGTGAACAAGCTCTTGAGATCGTGAATTAAAAGGCCAACAGAGGAAAAAAATTAGTCACTGAGTTTTCTTTGTCAAATATTCATTATATAGAGAGGCTCATAAGTCTTGGAGACCCAACTTGCTTCACAATTTATCACCTCACCTTGAGCGGGGGAGAAACAGACATGTATCTCATGATCAGATTCATCAGTTCATCCACTCGGAAGGGGTTTGCATTTTTCTAAACTACCAGTGGTTGATCATTGTCTTTCCACAAAATGAATGCTCTTCTATTGAACTGTTGCTCCCTTGTATTGGAGAAGCACTAGCTCGAGACCTAGAAAACAAATTGCACACCTCTGACAAGCCATGTAACAGCCATCATGGTACCACAGACAATGAGGAGCAAGTCTCAGGTTCCCCCTGGAGTGCCTTCTCGTTTCTTAACTATGACAGGAAATTTGCTTTCTTCTGCACTCCTCCGATTCTGGATCGTATCAAAAGTGGATACTGTGGTTGTCAGCACATTTCTGAGGCAATGTGTTTCCTCCTGTTTTAAACTTGAATTGTCTTTTGTTTTTTTTTTAAATACAGATAAGATCCTAAATCACTCAAGTTACGATGCTGTAAAAATTAAGATGCTTTAAAACAGTAAATGAAAATAATTTCTTTTTACCTGCCAGGACCAAGTTGAGGGCATTTAATGTCCACAGCTCTTGTAGGAAAAACACAGAACTCTGAACTTAGGGCTTGACCCTAACACATCACCAAAGCCTTATGAAATGTGTTTAATTTTAAGTCTACTCATGTAGTCAATTAATGGCATAAGATATTGAATGGTCTCTTCTAATTTTTAAAGGCATTTCATTTAGCCTAAGAGATCAGCAAATCACTTTACGACTGTCTGATGCCCTCACCTAAAATCTTGGATAAAGTTTCAATGTGAGGTAATGGATTATCTCTTTCCTAAACGGATAACTAATAACAAGGAGAAAGGGCTTGACTCCTACAATTGTTGTGTATAATTCCACTGCCTCAGAAAATTCTGCCACTGTATTCTGAGTTGCATGTTCTAAAATGCTAGCTGCTTTGAAAAAAGCCATCTTTCAATATAGTAAATGCAAGGAAAGCTGGAAGGTGCTATTTTTGCATGGTTTTGTATTTACATGGAAACACTTAACTGTTTCAGATTGTTGTGTAAGTACCAAGTTATTTTAAGTGCAATTGCTACAATGTTAAATAAAGAGCCTTGTGATATGAAGTCAGTTTCCCCCCTCAAATCCACACCTTGTGATTTCAGCCTTTGACAGCAGGGGCACATAAGCAGCAATCTAGCTGTCACTCAGTTCCCGTCTCTAAATCTTGTGTTGTCTTTTCCAGCTGAAATTGGTTGCTTAGGTCTGGTTATTTAGGATGGAGAATGGGAGATGTAGTTTGTATACCCTATTCTATAAGGGTTTTAAATCTTCCTCTGAAGCAGCTAGTATTCTGCTTTTTGGCATATCTGCCTCAATGGACCACTGTTCTGAGCTAGTATGGCAACTTTTGTGTTCCCAAAATCTGTCTTAGTTGTAAAATATATTGCCTCTGATAGAACTGGTTTGGCCTAAGCAACTAGCTTTAAATTTTGTCCTCTTACATTCAGAAAGTTCGGTGCTTTTTATGTGATGAAAAGAGCTAGGTATTATTGTCTCCCTTTTTCCTACAGATTCTGAGAAACTTTCTCTTGCCTCTACAGATACTTTCAAAACTTACCTTGGTTTTGAGATAAGTTCTGAATACGGGGTAATGCAGAACAGGGCTTGTCTACATGAACACTGAGTTTGTGGCAAACTGGGGTGTGAATCTAGCTCACACTAGGCTGCTGTGCACTGACTGTCCATGTGCACTTTTCTGATGCACACAAACAGTTTAATGCGCTTTAATCTACTCCTGTTTCAATCTGCACCCTACCTTACCGTGAACTCTGGTGTAGACAAGCCCACAAGTGCTTTGAAGAGAACCTGTCATTTTCCCAGCATCTAGATGTGATCTGAGACCACACCAACCTATGTGCTGGATTTACATGATAGTCTTCATGGAAATACAAAGGATGTTGCACTGGAGAGAGTTGTATGTTGAATGGGTAGTTCACATGAACATCAAATTTTGTTACTTTTGTCTGCAAGTTCTTTTAAAGCCTGTTCCTCTCCATTACCAGCAGATCAAATAAGTTTATAATGCGCTAGGAAGAAGCAATATTAACCAGACCTCCTGTCTCTTGGCATTAGCTGCCTAACACCATGGAACATGTTGTGGGGCCCGTCCGTGCGCTTCCCCCACTGGGTTAATGCAAAGAAGCTAGTGAATTTACTCTTGTCCATTATCTAGACCAGTGGTTCTCAACCTGCGGGCTGCTTGTGGCCCAATCAGCACACAGCTGTGGCCCATGTGACATCCTCCGGGCCATACAGCTAGTATATATATTGTGTGGATGCAGCCCACGTACCACACCAAGAGCTGCATATACAGCCCACAATGGTAAATAGGTTGAGAACCACTGCTTTGGACATTACGTGCTCCTTGCTTCTCCTGCTGCCATCTACTCATGAGAAAAATGTTAGCATGTAATGCCCTCTCCCTCACTAGGTGATATTTCTTGATCTAGGTCCTGCAAGGGCAAGTGTATATAGGTGGGTATTTTTTATTTCTTAATTTTCGGTTTGTTGGGCTACTATGTTCGGTGCTGTACATTCTAAGTGAAGATACCGCGGGTGGGGGTGGGGCTGAATTTGATTTATTTCAACAAATGCAGAAAACTGGCTTGCTGGATCTGCTGAAAATGCCTAGTATTCAGATTTTTCCCTAACCTATAGCTATATCTTCTTCCCTGTAATTGATTGACCTACTTTAAGAAAGCATGTAATGGATTGAAAGCTTAGTTAATCCTTGTCAATATTTTATTCTGTTTTTAAAAAAAAAAAAAAAAATTCCTTCTCACCTTGGAATGGAGCAAAACAAGCAGCTTCCTCAACCTCCAGAGAAGTTGTTTGTGCCAGCTGTTACCCATCTCCACTGAGCTAGACAAGGCAGCAGTTACCTTGCCAAAGTGATATAGGAAGCAATGCTTATATACCCCAGGGAGCTAACTTAGCACGTATTGTGCTTTGTTCATTTTACAGAACAGATCAGCAAAACAAACACACGAACAAACATCATGAAGGTGTTGTAAGGCGTCGATAGAAAGTGAGCTGTGCGACACCAGGGTATCAGCTGTTGAAAAGTGATAGCTACAGGCAATATTCTCGGGCGTGGAAGGTAGCTTTAACACAGTCTGTAACTAAGTGCGTGTGTTCTTGGCAATTCGCGTATATCCATGGTACATGGCAAGAAAATGTTGGTGCCTTGCTGCATGGTTCCTGATGGGCACAGTAAGGTGAGGGGCATCAGAAATTACATCCGTACTAGCCAAGGCCTATGGTAAAACATTGGTCTGAAGTTCAGGGATCATCCTATAGTGCAGCAGGGCACCTATTCAAGTTCAAATGCTGCTGCTTTCATTTTCAGCAGCACGCTGTGGGCAAAACAAGGGAATAGGGAAGTGATCCATGGAGAACAGAGACGGAAAAGACCTTATTAGCTTATGCTCCATCCTCCTCCCCTTTGTGGTCTTGTTCCCTGCAGTATACCATATTATTATTACAGTCAGACTTACAGCTTCCTTCAGACAGGGCTCCATTGTGCTACTGTACAGACAGAGTAAAAGACAACCCCTGCCCCAAAGAGTTGACATTATTTGACTAGATCCTCACTGACAGCCTGTGTTTGTTAAATGCACCTAACTATCCAGCTGTAAAAACGTACTGGAGACCAGGCACTGTAGTTCTACTGTGAGGTAAACTAGGCAAGGTCAGCCATGGGTGTGGGTATAGTGCTAACCTCACCTAGCTACCATGTGGCAAATGCTACATGTGCCTTGTCTTCTTTTAGGATTTTACAGCAAGATAAATATCACGTGTTATCCTGCTGTATTTCAAAACCCAAACCTTTCAATGAAGACAAAGTCTTAGGGCTTGTCTATACTTACGCGCTGGTTCGGCGGCAGGCAATCGAACTTCTGGGTTCGATTTATCTCGTCTTGTCTGGACGCGATAAATCGAACCCAGAAGTGCTCGCCATCAACTCCGGTAATCCTGCTCGGCGCGAGGAGTACGTGGAGTCGACGGGGGAGCCTGCCTGCCGCGTCTGGACCGCGGTAAGTTCGAACTAAGGTACGTCGACTTCAGCTACGTTATTCACGTAGCTGAAGTTGCGTACCTTAGTTCGAATTGGGGGGTTAGTGTAGACCAGGCCTTAGATTGAGGCATGAATGGGAGGAGGGGACATAACTGAATTTGGCATGGCTCTATAGTGCTTTGTCAGGCTTGTTATCAAGTAGTTGGACTTCCAATTCCCTTGAACGACAATCCTAGAGTCTATTAGATCTCTCCTGTGTGTGTTGGTTCTTCCATCATTCTTTACTTTTCACAAACTTTTTGGATTTCCGCATATGTATGTACTCATGAGGAATGCCTCCTGTCGTGTGCTCTTGAGACATGGCCTAGAACATATTGCAGTTGTAAGAAAGTTTATGCCGGGGTGCAGTTTTGTTGCTGAAATTAAGTGGCCAGTTTTTGGGGGGCAGGGAAGAGGGTTATGCTTCTTGTTACTACTTCTGCAGTAATCAAGGCTGCTCTTCCAACTCAGCATGGCCTCAAACTATGCCCTCGGTAGCCAGGGATCTTTACTGCCAGCCCATCTGCTGAAGGGTGATAATCATGATATGAAGTGCTGAGGCTGCTGCAGCGTATGCTGAGTAAGAGCAGAGAACCTCAAGCAGTTGCTCATCTTGCTTTGCTTAAGACAAGCCCCTTGAATGATTTCTACCTTATGAGATCCATAATAATGATATTGTGATCACAATGCACGTTGTACAGCTAATACTTGCATCTTGCACTGGTTTCGATAGGTGTGGAATGGCAGATAGGTAAAGCATTACCATGAATGGTACTTTATCCAGCACCACTGGAGTTAGTGGGAGCTTTATTCTGGGCTCCAGAAGGGCACAGGATGAAGCCCATGATGATGAATAAACCAGATTCCACTGTAGAGAGATCACAAGTGGGTTGTAGTTCATTAGTTAGCCAAATGAGCAAAGAGGAAAATAAACAGGGCTCTACATTCCTGTTTTCATTTTTATTTTAAGGTGTCAAACATCTGGTGGAAGCTCAGTAACTCCAAGTTGTTCTAGGGCCATCATTACTTGGCTGAAAGCTTTTTGCCTGAACTGAATTTAACAGTACTTGGAAACTCAGATGTTACAAATAACAGTGAGTTGTAAATTTCTTTTGCAATAAAAATGTGATGCTCAGACTCAGCCTAGACAGGCTATTTCTCTCTCTCGCGCGCACTCGCTCTCTCCTAAATCCATTTTATAGGAGTTTGGGGTCTTTAAACTTGATATGCTGTACACTTAGGGCATTGGATGGCAAGATTTCAGTAATAAATTTGCTGAGTTTCAGCTGAACATGGCTGGACAGTCCATATTTGCAAGCAGAATGTTGGAGGTATCTTTTATGCCTGTCTCCACAAGTTTAGAGCTCGTGTGGCCAACTTTAGGGTAGAATTTGCACATGGCTTAGTATTTAAGAATTAAAAAAAAATATTTTGATTTTTAATAGGAAAATCATGTTGTAAGGTGGGTTTAAATAGAGTTTAGTTGCTTGTGAGTGTAGAGAGGGCCTAATCTCTACTTGTGTAGCTCAATTGCAGTCAATAGAGTTACAGTTGCAGAGAATTTGGCCTGGGGCGTTCCAAGTAGTAGGGACAACATGGGAGAAGAAATGTGTGGAGAAAGCAAAGGATAGGTATCCAGCAGGTGAGCAGATGGAAATGGGGACTTGAAGGTGAGGATTTGCAGCTAGAACTTGGTAGGTCAGGTGAGAGGAAGGTAGGAAAGGGATGTGAAGTGGGGAAATGACATGGTCAGATCAGCAGGACGGGGAGATGTGTTTTAAGCAGCAGCATTTAATCAGTTGGCTCTTCAATAAAGGAAGCAGCCAAAGGAAGTAATTAGGTCTCTGAGCTGAGGCAAGATAAATGATTTCATAAATGCTCAGCAGGAATTCCACTCCCTGTATTTGGGCTCAGAAAAGAGTCTCTGGAGATCAGAGGCGATTCAAATGCACGGTAAGTCTGTGAAGCCCGTGCACCTTAAGGAACCTGCAGTTCCCAATGACTTTAAATGGAGTTGTGGGTGCTCGGCATCTCTGAAAATCTGACCCGGAAGCTCTGATTTAGCAAAGCGCTTGCCACGTGCTTAAGTCCCATTGAAGGCAAATGCTTTGCTGAGTCATGGCATACGTGAATGGGTGAGGGTAGCGACGTGGCCTGAGTGCTTCACTCTCTCAGCGCCTAGGGAATAAGTCCTTCCTCTGCTAGTTCATTGTGTCTCACCTCTAGCCTTTCAAGCCTCCATTTCAGAACCGCTTCCAACATTGTGCTCTAATTGTGCTCTGTGGGATTTCATTTCAAGGCTATGCATTGACTTTAATGGCCAATTGGCTAAAAAAAATAAAATACTCTTCCATTATGCTCTGTCTCCTATCGCTGTACTCCATACAAAATGTTATAAACAGGACCTTTTGTACTAGTTCAGATTAGACCGCAACCCAGAGCTGTTTATATCTTTGCTGAAGCTATGATTCTGTAGCGTTCAGCGCACAGCGTGGCGAGAGGGGTCAGATTTATTCCCGATGTCACTTTGTTGAAGGTAATGAAGTTTCCAAGAACAGCTTTGGCCTCTTAATATTGAATATGACATTGTTGTCACTTGATCTCATAACACTTTAGAACGATTAATCCTCACCATCTCCCCGGGGGAGGAAGGTAAGATTTATTACCTCATTTTATAGATGGGAGAACCCAAGGCAAAGAAGCGAATCTCGCCACATTCTGCTCTGTGCAAGGCAAATTTCTTTGACTTTGCCTTCTCTACCATAAACATACAGCTGTGTGTTGATTAGATAGATATAGCTTATAACCCACATACTCTATATATGTGTATTTGTGTGTGTACAGATAGTGTCTAATATAAGCATGCGTGTGTATAGAAATCCAAAACACACACAGCACTGCTCCCATATCTCCCCTGGGGAAAGGATGACCGAACATGTGACAGATGTTAGTCCTGATGCTTAATGCACTCCTGGAAGGCGCTCTGATATTACAGCGAGGCGCGTGGCATAAGAACCTATACAGACTCAAAGAGGCCTTGTGCAAGCTCCCATGAATTAGTGGCAGAGTTGGGAATAGTGAGTCCGTTCTCATGGCTCCCACGATGCTCTACCCACTCAACGTGTTGCTCACGTGACTTGGTGCCACAGACGCACTCTTCAATCCTTATGAGTGGAGCAAAGTGGGAAATGGTGCCGCTTTTATCTGAACTCCGAAGGCTGAGAGTAGCATGATATTGACTGATCGCCTTTGCTAGCCATAGGAAGCTACCAAATAACAGTAATGAAGGGGAGAGTCTGCATGAAAGATCAAGTGTCATGGTGGAGTCTCCATCACTGACCATTTATAAATCCAGACAGAATGGTTTTTCTAAAAGATCTGCTCTAGGAATTACTGTGGGGAAGTTCTGTGGCCTGTGCTATGCAGACTATAGATGGTCACAATGGTCCCATCTGACCTTAGAATCTCTGAATTAGTATTACAGCAGCCCCAACCAAGATTGGGACCTATTGTGGTAGGTACCGTATATACACGGAGTGAGCCGGGGTCCCTGCCCCAAAGGGTGTACAGTCCAGCCATGATAAAGAATGGGAGAAAGGAGGGATTTGTATAGAGGGGGAACTGAGGCACAGAGAGGGTAAATGACTGGCCAAAGGTCACACCAGGAATCCAGCCCTCTTGAGTTCTGTAGCAGTGTCTTAACCACAAGCCCATCCCATTGTCTTGCCCTTTTATCGTCTGTTTCAGTAGACGTATGAAATCATAGTTACGGAGTCTGGCTGGGGATTTGATCGGTTTTCCTGCCTGTTACAATTAATCCCACTGAGGGTGAAAGCCTTGTGCCTTTTCCTTTATGTTCAGAGAGATAGCCGCAATGTTCTGTAGAGAGGACAGGTAGGAGGGGCCTGTCCATGGAGACTGATTGCTGGGAACACGAAGCAGGAAGGAGAGTCTGTGCTCTCTTGGCTGTATTATCTTCCACTCTCTGGATTTTATCTCCTTTTCCTGACTGCTCTATGTCCATTCCATAGCCAGGAGCCTTATTCTAGTGCTTCATCCCATAAACTTGGAGAGAACCCCTCAAGCTGGCTAATCCACCATGGCGACTGCTTAGCTTGACCACAAGTCTGACACTTTATTTACTTTGCTTGGGTGCAGACCCTTCTGCTTCTTTTCCAGTCACTTTGTGACTGTAAACACCTGCTGCTGGTCTGTGCTGTGACAGCTCTCAGCATCTCGCCAGGGCGTGGCTTCCTGAGGCAGCCTGTTGCTTAGTATGGAGGAGATAGCAGCAGCTTGTCCTTTCTTCAGAAAATACTTCACAAATGTCTGAGTTGCATCTGGGAGAGAAGGAGCAGCTGGCTTTGGTTTGGTTTGGTTTTTTCATTTTTTTTTTAAATATCTGGCTAAAGAGAATTACTGCCCCTATATCCAGGAAACACAAATGAAAAGTCCAATCCTGCTGTCTGTTATGCCCCTGTCAGTGCAGAGAAACTTCAGTGGAATAAGTATAGAGTGATCCAGTAGATTGAGCACTAAAAGGATCCCTAACTTGTAGCATCAATAGTTCAAACGTGTCCGGTTACAGAGACCCCGCTAGATAAAAAGAAAGGGCTATATTTGCACCAGCTTTTGTTTCAATTATCTGGTTGTTTATATTGTGCCTCTGTGTCTTTCCCTCCATCCTCTGTGCTCTGAATTCCCATCAATGAACTGGGAGGAATGATTACTGGACTAGGGTCCACTCTCCTTTCTGAACCAACTAGCCCCTCCTCTGCTGTGCTTGTTGCTGCCTTCCCCTTCGGTCGTATCACCCACAGATTGCTGGCAGGCTGCCGTCTCAGACTGCCTCTCCCACCCATCTAATTTTACGCACTGCAGCCTTCTCCTCTTGAGACCTGTCAGCGAGGATCTGCGCTAGGCAGAAATAGCCCTGGGAGAGTAATGACAGCAAAATGGTTGCTAAATAGGGAATGGCTGGGGCACTGCAGCAGAAAGGTCAATTATAATCAGCTTGTCTCCATATTCCTCAGAGACATCCCAGGGACGAGGAGCAGCTGGGGCTGTAAGCCGTCTTAGAGAGCTGCCACTGATGAAGACAATAAGGTATCAGACGGACGGGACTATCACCCTTTCCTTATGCATTTGCCGTGGTGGTACTGTTTTCTCCCATTGTTGTGAACATAGCTCTGCCCAATCCATAGTTGCTCCTGTTGTTTTGCAAGCCTTCAGATACTTGCAAAAGTGCCTCGTTCCTAGAGGCTTGTGACCTAACTTTTCATCCACCCAACTGTGGAGCTAGAGAATGAATGGACTTCTGAATGCAGGTGCTCGCCTACCAGTACAGGGTTCTGCCCTGCTGGCATGCAAACTAAATGGTGTACACCTGTTTAGTGATTAACACACTTGCTGTCTTTAAGGCTCAGCTGAAGTTCCCCAAAGTATTTTCAGAAATGCTTATGACCACTACACTTCCTCGAGGGCTTTCTCAACCAGCTGATCTCCAAATGAGTGGCAGACACTAGCTAAACCTAACACCCCCCTTGTGAGCTGAGTAAATGAAGTGCCCATTTTACGGATTTCCCAACCAATACACAGAGTTTAGGTGGCTTGCCCGGAGAGCTCACAATCAGACGGTGGCTGAGCTAGGAACGGAATCCATAAGTCTCAACTCTCATTCCCCTGATCTAACCACCAGAGCACGTTCCTCTTCCTGGTCAGGGAATAGAGCCTGTGACACCTGATTCCTAAGCCACCTGCTCTAACCACTGGACCCCGCACTCCCCCACCCCCCTAAGCTATGAATAGAATCTAGGAGTCCTGACTCCGATTTGCCTTGTTCAAACCATTAGACAAACGCACTCACTCACTCTTTCTCGCTCTCTGAGCTGGGAACATAATGTAGAAGACCTGATTTTATGATCTGCTATCCTAACTGCACTGCCTCCTGTACTGGACTACGTAGGAAATCATCTTTGCCTTCTTTACATACAGGACAGTGTAACTGAACTCGGAGAGTAAGGAGCTCATGACAATGGCAAACCATTGGTTTATTTCCATGGGCTTCCATTTATCACAATGGTAATCCTGAGTAGAGATCAGCTATTTTGATTCCTGCTAGGTCCCAAGTAATCTTTCTCCATAAGAACAAACATTTTCCCAGCTGTAAATAAACAAGGACTTAAAAGTAACAGGCCGATGGCTTATTTTTCACCCCATTTATATAGGCTGGCTTGTTATGCAGCTTAGCATCTTCTGCTGCTGATGAAATGCTACTAACTGGCTAATTTTGAATGTTGCTCTCATGTATGTATTTTTCCAGCCACTATCTTTTCTTAGAGGCTGCCTTTGCTGAAATGATGCCTCTCTGTCAGAGAGTCAGGTGCAGCCGGTGAACTTCTCCCCTTGAGAGATCCTGAAGCTCTTAGCTCAAGTTTCTGAGGATTGAGGTGACTAGCTGTGGCAGAACTAGCTGAGGGACCTGCATTGAGGGAGAATTAATTAAATGCCAGACTGCCAGATCTATGAGAGAGATTGTCAGTGAGGAATGGATCCAGCAGCTCTAACTCCACAATACAGGCCTCTACCATGTAAATGAAAAGGCTAATTTTGCTGTCTGTGAGCAGTAGCAGGTGGCGATCCTGTGTGGGTCAACCAGAGTGGCACCAAGACATGCTTGGCTAATGTGCTACGCCTCTTTTACCCTGCAAATAAATCCCACACTGCTGAATAGACTTCAGATCTTCTGCTCTGAAGAAGATTCCTATCTGTTGGGCTGCTGAGCCACCATTAGAGTCTGGGGTGTGTGGAATGAGCCGTTTGTTCTCTTCCATTACCCTCCGCCTGGTCTCATCACTGCAGCTCAGCCAAGGGATCCATCAATAGCAGAGGGGCCACTGCAGAAGCTTTAGCAGAATGATCCAAGGGATGAATCTGGCTCATAGTGTATTAGTTAATGAATGCTGGGAAATTAACCCTTTATTAGCTGCTCTAAAACACCTTGCTGCATAAAGCATACATGCAAAAACAGGATCTGGTCTGATGCCACAAGGTAAAAGATCCACGAGGCGGGTTAGTTTCCTCCAGATGATTTAATATGCCTAGGAAAGAGCAGGGGGAGGAAAAAATGGCCTCCTCTTTGACAAACTGCATATATTAAGAGCCGGTTGAATCTTAAAGGCTGCAGGTGCTATGGGAGGGAACCTGAAATTTGTAGCATTCAGCCTATTTGTGTAATTTACAAGAGTCCCGACAATTCTACTGCTGCTGTTCCCATGGAAACAGATGTTGGCTTGCAGAAAATCTTTACAGGTTTTGTTGTTTGTTTTTAAATTTAAGTCCTCCTGCCTCGTTTTCAGAGAGGCAGGACATTTTTGCTACCTGGTCCCTGTTTGCCAGGGCAGGCCAGAGTTTGACTGGGCCATTCCCAACCCGCAAGCTACCTTAAACATCTTGAGATCCGTCTGCATCTGTCCCCATGCCAAGGCAATGCGAAGACTACCCATGAAAATGAGGACACCAGCTGGAGTCAATCCATGGGTGGATTTTGTCCTGCTTGTTCTGTAGTTGTACTTGACATTGTTCTCTGCTCTGACCATATTTCAACATAACAAGTTGCTAGACGAACCTCTCTCTCTCCCACTCATCTAATGGAACTGTCTGACTTCCAAATCTGTTTGGTGAGTTTGTTTCCATGGCAGTTGTTGTCTGTCTCTGCGTCCCGCCCTTTCATTGCAGAGCAGGCCCCCAGCAGCCAGTGAGATGGTGTAGGTGGAAGGAGGTCTAGCAACTATGCACACTGCTGTGGCTTTTTTACCATTTAAAAAGCAACTGCTAGGGTAAACCAACTCCTATCTCTGTATATGAAGACTCTCGTTACGTAAGCTTGGTTCTTAAGAGACAGACAGTTATTTTCCAGCTTGTCAGGTCTGTCTCAGACAGCAGGGGAAGTCATCAATCATGCAATGAACACGTTGGATTTTGTGGCCGAACTGATCTACCATCTCTGCAACACATTTCTCTATCTAGAACAAACACGCTTTCTTTCACCGTCTTGATCTGTCTTTCATTTCTTTTGTCTTTTGCAGATGTTAACGTGATGCAGTTTATTCTCCCTGGGAAGGTAAGTCTCTCTGAATTACTCTTTTAAGAAATGATTGCCAGGCAAATGAAAGATCGTAATGTTATGTTTTAAAAAGTGGGGTGAATTAGATGCTGATGGGCTAATAGCATTAGCACTTATGAATGATTTTATTAGCAGTAGCAAGAATGAAACCATGAGGAGAGAGACTGTGCAAGCTTCCACACATGGATCTCTGTTGATACATCCATGATCTACTCTGCAACATCTCTGGTATCCTGTTAGTATTCATATTACTGTAGGACCTACAGACCCCAGCTAAGATCAGGTCACATGGTGCTAGGCACTGTGCATACACATAATAAGAGACAGTCCCTTCCCCAAAGAGCTTACAGTTTAAAATAGACCAAAGGTGGGAGGGGAACAGAGACGGTATCTTGTCCAAGATCACACAAATTTATCGGCAAAGTCTGGAATAGACCTTCTGAGCCCCAGTTCTGGGCCTTCCCATTAGACTCCCCTAGTACTGGCTGGCTCAACCCATTTTATGTTGCTCAGTAATGTAACCCATGCCAGCTTGCTGGGGCACTCTGCACCCTTCTAGTGATGGCTGGACCATCTGGAGGTTGATGAGCCTGCGACAGCCTTGGCTAAGAGAGGTGGGTCTCTTCAGTTGGACGTAACAACTCATGCACTGGCTGGAGGACAACAGCTCCAGTCTGATGGATTTTGAGATTTCAGAATTTGGCTTGGTTGGGCATCGGAATGAAACCTGAATGTTTTGGGGTTTTTTTTTTTTCAAAATTCGATTTCAACGGCTTTTGATTAGATGTTCTGTTCCATGTGTGAGAGAGAGAAATTTGAAATAAAGACATTTCAAAATGAAAAAGCAAGATGTTTCATTCCCCAGTTGTTCAGCTTTGTTTGAACGTTCCCTTCTCCCCTGCCCCGCCCTGTTTTTTCCCCGAAACAAAAATTTGGAAAAATTTACAGGACTCCACTAAGTGTTTCGAATATGATGGGGGAGCTGCATTTTCCAGGGGCAAATGGTTCCGTTGACATTTTTCTGAGCTGTTCTAATCCAGAGATCTCCGGTTTGGTCCCTGCTGTTGACCATCCACACCCATGTTTTTCTGAGGTGAACAAATGTCTGCTAGGGAGCACGCCAATCTCCGTTTTAGAGCTGCTGAAAAATGCGTCAAACGTTTTCACCAAACAGTTTTTTTGTTTTTAAGACTTGAAAATTCTACAACAAATATTCACTGGAATTTCACTTTTTGAAATTTTTTGACCAACTCTCTCCGTTTTCATTTTTCATGCCACAGGCTCCAGAGTCTAAAAGCATCTTAATGTATGTAATGCATAGTGATAGGCACTGTACAGACACGTAAGAAGAGAAATGATGATCATTAGAAGTGGGAGCCTAAGCCACCAAATTGGAACACTCAGGGAGTTTGAATCCAAGGTTTCAGAGTATCCTAGTAGAAACACAGGGGTCAGTAGTGAAATTTAGATTCAGATTCTGACCCCCCTCAGGTCCCCCCTCAAAGTTTGGGCATGTTCAGATCTGGGGGGTTGGTTCAGGTCCTCCTCTGATGACAACACTTACATGTAGGATGAAATAATTGATGGGGGAGGGGGGTCTAACCATTGCCTTCTACTGAATAGGCCTTCCGACCTTCTGAAGCATATGTAATCATTGTCCTTCTCTAGTGGTTGCAGCCAACAGAGAGGCTATACAATCTAATACTCCTACAGCTAATAGAGATGATTTTTTAGTTCAGGTGGCTTGGAGCACTAGGTCCTTGGGTTTTCTATTCCTGCTGTTGACCTTGAAGTCCAGGTGCCCCTCAACCTGCGTGTGGGGACGCTGACAGCTGTGAAGTCATGCTCCGTCTCCGAATCACGGGGATTGTATTGCACAGGCAGGTGCAAACTGTGGGCCCCGATCCTGCCATTGGACCCTAGTGCCTATCCAAATCCACAATGAGTTAAGAGTGCAGAAGTGGCTCTGAATTCAGGACTGGAGCTTGTGGCAGTTGCTATTGTAATGCTGGTGACGATGCTCCAGGCTGTTGTGGTGAAAGGATGCAAAATACAGCAATAAATAGAGAACTATCCAGTTTTTAGTACTTCCCATCCCCAATTGCATTGGCCCTCACTATGTCACAGGGTGTAATGTTTGTTCCGTTTTGATTTCTACGGAGACCCTTATTTACATAAGGTGCGTTACAGAGCTGAACTGTATAATACACAGTAACTTACCCTGTGATGTAAACTATGCCGCGTGCATGGTAAGAATAGCCATGCCCATTCACAAAATAGCTGAGATGCCAAGCACCAGTGGAGCCTCTTGAGAAATAATAATAAAAGGCATCATCATAATTACTAAAAAAGAAAAGACTATATCCAGCCATTTCCTGTATACCTGAGCTTTGCATAGTGCCAGATCTTGGTCCATTTGCTAGCACCTCCCATGCATTTACAAGCATAGCAGTTAGAAAAATTACTTTTCTATGAAAGATTTGGAAAGAGATGAACAATTTTCATTAATGTTTTGTTCACTGATTTTCTTTTTTTGGAGGTGGGGGAGTCATTACAAAAAATTAAACCCACAACTGTTTGGTATTCAGCTGTCAAAAAATGGGGGGGATCATTTTTGGTTACTGAAATGTTTTCATTTTTCAATATCACTATTATTTTATTTGTATTGCATTAGTGCCTTGGATTCCCAGTCATGGGCCAGGACCCCATGGTGCTAGGCGCTGTACAGACAGAACAAAACAATGGCCACTGCCCAGAGAGCTTCCCATCTAAGTACTGGGTGTTTTACTTTTTTTTGACAAAAACACAACTTTTTTTTTATGAAAATGGAAGTCTTGGTGAAAAATCTTCAATTTAATCAAAAAGCCATTTTTTGTGGGGGGAAAAAGTTTCCGTGAACTTTTTTCCAACCATCTCTCCTTACAGGTCCGGATCCTGCTTGGAAAACAGTGGCAAACCTCCTAAACCCTGACCCACAAAAAGAGGTGTGTGACTGTGTGTGAGACTAGTTCCATTGGGACTACTCACATGCTTAAATTACACAAGTGCTTAGGTGCCTTGATGGATGGCTGGAGCTCACTTGCCTCTTTTCACTTATTTATCCACAGTGGCTGTTTCATTTTGGGGCACATCAGATTCCCTCTCCACAGTTCCTCTCCCTTACCTTATAATTTATATTCTACTCAACTAAGTGTTTCATGGCCTGAGAAGACTTTTCATGATGATGTTCCCACCTCCATAGCAGTCAGCTCAGATCTTGCAAATTCCTTGGTGTCTAGGTTTTCAGCTGTCTGGATTGAGCGGTAAACAGTCTGTTAAATAATAATAACTTATAAATACTAAGTGTCTAATAAAACCAAACCTCTAATAAGCCCCCATTAAAATGCACGTTGACATTCTTTTTAATTTTTAAAGAGGCAAATGCATTTGTAATTAGCATTTTAACATTAGATTGGCCATGTTCCTAAGGTTTCTATTTAAATGCAAATTAAATCCTCCCACTGGAAAGCTAATCGGAAATGAAAATAGCTGGTAGGGGATGGGAATTTGCTTCCATGTGGAGTCATTTTAGTCATCTTGCTGTTGATTTCTTCATTTTTTATGGCCTGGTTTGCTTTAAAAATAGAGTTCCTATGTAGAACTGCATGAAACATCTGTAATAATTAACCTTGCTTGGTTCCTGACAACACTGAAAGTTAAGCTCAGACTCTCCGAAAGGTTTGCTAGCTTTCTGCAAATGTGGACTAAAGTTAGAACTAGACTGGGCCCAGTTTTGGACAATCTAGCGCTTGGTTTCACATAGTAATCAGATCAGAGAGGAAGGATAGTTCTGGGTTAGGATCCTAGAATAGGATTTCAAAGTTTCATTTCCAGCTCTGCCACGCACTCCTTGTGTGATGATGGGCAAGGCACCTGGGGCCAGATTTTTAAATGTACACCTCTACCCTGATATAACGCGACCTGATATAACACGAATTTGGATATGACGTGGTAAAGCAGTGCTCCAGGGAGGTGGGGCTGCACACTCTGGCGGATCAAAGCAAGCTCGATATAACGCGGTTTCACCTATAACGCGGTAAGATTTTTTGGCTCCCAACGACAGTGTTATATCGGGGTAGAGGTGTATTTAGGCACCTAAAGATGCAAATGGGAACTTAGGAGGCTGGAAGTTAGGCGCTTAGACCCTTTGGAAAATCCAACTAGGTGCCTATCTGCATCTGTAGGCATCTAAATACCTTTAAAGATCTGGCCCTTAACTCTCTCAGTGCCTCAGTTCCCCAACTGCGAAAGGGGGACTCCTTGTCTGAGCTAAGCACACATGCAACCCATACTGAAAAGAAACTGAGTCTGTCTCCTTGTAGTGTCTGGTGTACATAACAGCTTAAAGAGGCTACTACAGATCAGATAATACTACAGGGGGACATTACAGGGCTGAGATCTTTAGGTCAAGTGATAGCTGCTCATGCTTTTAGATCTGAAGCGTGCTGGTTCAAACCCTACTAACTATCCAAGCCTGGGTGACTATACACAGATGTGCATGTGCTGTTTTAGGACGCATCCCATGTCTCAAGGAGCTCACAGATTTAGGAAGTGGTATCCAGTGGGATCATCAACCATTTTCCCAGGCATATGTGAATGTGAGCAATTCAATGTGGAGAGAGTCAGCAAAAATAAGTGGTAAAGAGAATGAATTAGGAGATTGTCATAGTGTAGGGAGCTCCTCAGTAGATGGTGATGTTGGCTCCATGAAAAAACTGCTCTAGGCCATTATGCAAATATAACTTTGGGAAGTAGCTGCTGGGATATACTTTGAGATACAAGGTTGATTGAGGAACATCTTTTATTGATCCAACTTCTGTTGGTGGAAGAGACAAGCTTTTGAGCTCCACAGAGCTCTTCTTCAGGGCTGGGAAAGTTAATCAGAGTGTCACAGCTGAATACAAGATGGAACAGATGGTTAAGCATAAGGAGTTAACGCATGTTGCAAGAAATTGTTC